GTCTCAGGCGACGGCTGGGGGATGGGGGATGTCTCAGGCGACGGCTGCGGGGCAGGAGATGTCTCAGGCGACGGCTGGGGGATGGGGGATGTCTCAGGCGACGGCTGAGGGATGGGGGATGTCTCAGGCGACGGCTGGGGCGCGGGGGATGTCCCGGGAGATGCCACAGGGCTGGGCGTTGGCTGCGGTGTCGCGCAAGGCGTGGGCTTGAACGGGAACACGCTGTAGATCAGCCCCTACAGGAGGTGGGGTGGTTTTGTGATTGGTTATATAGTTATTGCGATTTCAAGATAATGACTCTTGAGGCTAGCAACCCAATCTGTTTCGAAAGTGCCAGTGCGAAGGGGACATGCAGGGGTGCCATGCACGAACCAGACAGGGACGCAGGGCGGCCCCGCTGGAGCAGCGCTGCGCGCGTTGAGGGGGGCGCTGGCGGCCATCACCCTGTCGGCCGCTCCCCGGCCCGCCGAGCGCGCGCCCTCCGCTCGCTCCTCTGGCCGCGCTCGCGCGGGGCCTGGCGCTGCGACCGCGACGGCGGGCGCGGCATGTGTGCAGGCAATGGGCGCACCTTGCCCTTGCCCAGCAGCTGGATCTTGGGGTTGGAGGAGTGCAGCTTGGCATCAATCTCATCCTGAATGGGGTCGCTGCACTGGACCGGCGCCGGGGCCGCCCCGGGGCCGGCCGGGGGCTGCGCAGCGGGGGAGGGTGGTGGGCGTTGACAGGCACCGTCAGGTGGCCGGCCGCGGCGCGCGCGGGCTGGTTTGTGCCCAAAGGAGCTATTTGGGCAGATCCTGATTTTCAGGAGGATCTGGACGGAGCACGTGGTAAGGGCCCAGCGTTGCCACACGCGCGCCGCTGCGATTTGGGCCCAACGGATTGGTCGCACCGCGCGCGAGCAGTGCGCACCTGGCTACCGCCGAAGGGGGGCAGCGGGATTGTGAAGGGGTCGAGTCCAAAGGGGTGGTGTGCGATGGGGGTGGTGAAGAACGGCGGGGCGAAGGCACTGTTGGGCGCAGACGGGCCAGCAGGCGCGGAAAAGGGTCCCTGGAGGGGTGGGTGATGCGGCAAGGAGGGGGGGGCGGCCAGGGTGGCGTCGTGTTCGATGAAGGCGTGGCGATGTGATTATGCGCGCGGTGCGCAGTGAGGGTCATTGGCCAGCAGTCACACCGTGAGTTGTCCGCGGCCACCTTGACTGACACATCACGCCCCTGCAGGCCCAAAAACAGAGCACATAAACCTGAAAACGGCAGTGCGCACCTTTCCAAACAGGAAGGGGAACAGGTCGCCTTTGCCAGACGCAAAGATGTCGCCAAGGAGGCGGCGGCCGTAGTTGCTGCTCTCCCTTACGGGCCTGCGGGCGCGGTGAACCGGCACCAATCAGAATCTAATACGTGCTCAAACCATGTTACAGGGCCACACGGGGCGATCGCGTGTGGCGAGCACAGCTCGCGCCAAGAGCGAGGTTCCCCATATCAACCAACCGTGCGCCTCACCTGGCCGCTGCTCCCGCAACCAGGCATGCCAGCATAAACACCACCGCGCATTTGATCGCCGCCATTGTGCGATACACACCCGGCCTGCTCGGCCGGGGGTTGGACGAAAGTGGACGAGCTGGGTGATCAGCTAGTTGACAATGGATGTGGTCCAATTGCTTATCATGAAAGAGTTAAATCCTTGAAGGGCCTTTATCACCTGGTTTGATTCCCGCATGTGAAGTTGAGGGTCGAACCCAACCGGCAACTCTGAACCTCCTCGCGGGGCGTCGTCAAGCCAATATTATACCCTACAACTCGTTTATTAATCAAAAAGACAATAATGACAGCAGCAGAAGCTTGGAGGCAGTCAGTACTGGTGTGGTCCACGCCCCTCGTGGACTGCACTCGCGGCGCACTGAGTGGCGCTTGCTCGGCACCATGGTTGAGCCAGCGGCCACGCCAGCCACTCAGGCCACTCTGTACCTCAACACGGTTGAGTTCCAGATTTTGAATGCAACTCACAGCATCTTAATGCGGTCTGGTCAAGCACCGACCCACCTGCCCTCCCAAAATTTTCAACCACTGCACGCGCGCTCCAACAATAGGGGACTTGTCGCGAAGCCACAACGCCCCCTGCAGGTGCAAGGGTGAGAAGGGGTCTGAAACGGCAGGAGGATGACGAGAGTCACGCGGCGCGCTTGGCATGCTGGCCACACAGCGTCGGTCCAGTGCCTGCGGTGCGAGAGCCCCATAACGGGCGGGTTCTTGGCCTGTCAGCCGGCACCTTCTGATTCATGCCAAATCTGGTCTGGCTTACAACAGCTAAGGTCGCGTCGAGCAGGTGCCCACGGACGTTGGCACGTTACAAGATCATCCAAAATCACGCCCGCGGGCCTTGCAGGGGGCGCAGGCGGCGCGGCGGCACGCGGCAGCCTGGAATGGGCAATGCTCGCATGCAAGAAGCTGGCGCGGGCCCGCATGCAGATGCAACCTGCTGCCACCCCTGCTGCAGCCTGCTGAAAAGGCTATCAAAACATGCCGTATGAGAGAGAGGCAGTGGCAGGATCTCTAGCTCGGAATCATTGACGTAGCTGCACCGCTCACAAAAGAAGCAAGACTGGACATATGGTGGTGCCACAAGCATGCACATCGATATGCGCAAGGCCGCGAACTGCGCGCGGCCGTCGCCGCGCCGGAGACAGGGCGACGCCCGCCGGGCGCCCACTTTTGCAGGCAGCCCCTCGCATTCGCCCGCCACCGCCGCCCCACCCCTGGCCCGGCGCCGTCCAAGCTGGGTGCGGCTCATCCCATTTTTACCGTAGACTTTTTCATCTGCTTCTTCATCTGCTGCTTGCGGAGGCGCTCCTCAAACTTCTCGAGCGCCTTGGGGCCCTGCCGCCTCGCCTTGTCCTGGGTGGTGCGGCGGCACGGGGTCAGGGGTGAGGGCGCGGCAGTGGGGGGCCGCTGCGTCGGGCACTCGTGTGGGGCGAGCCGGTGGCAGCACGGTCCCTGGTAGCTGCATACAACTTGCTCCTGCACACAGTCAAAAAGTGTGAGCATGCATGTGCGCGCACACACCCGCACACACACACACACACGCGCGCGCGCGTGCACATGCACACGCACACACATAAGCGCGCTCATCCAACAGACGACCACCATCACCCCAGGCAGCACGGACCGGGCGCCTCAAGAGCCAACAAGTTCAGAACCACCCCGGCCCCGCACCCGCTCCTCCTGCAGCTTGTCCATCCGACGCATCATCGCCGCCATCTGCCGCTCCTGCTGCGCCCCGCCGCCGCCGCCGCCGGCGCCCGCCTCCTCCTTGCCCTTGCGCTCCTCGCGCGCGGCTGAGACCTTCTGGCGCAATGCGGCGGCCTTCGATGCGGCGTCGGCGCCCAGCTTGTAGGACCCAACTATGTCTGTCAACAGCAGCACGAGGTGCTGGCGGTGCAGGGTTCGAGAAACAAGGGGACGAGAGGGGGCTCGCTGTCAGGCGTGATGGAAGGGGGTGCCATCAGGATCGCGCACAAGCAGACCCGCGCGCACCATGCAAGCATGTCCAAAGGCCTCAACACATTGACAGATGCACTGGAAACAGGGCCGTTTCGGGCGCAGGCTCTTCCGCCCGCCTCCCTTCCGTTCCCTCAGCTGTCTTGCTTGGCCTTGGCGCGCTATGCTCAGCCCCTGACGCCAGCAGCCTCACCCTCCTGCCCCTGCAGGCACGCACCAGGATGCCGCGCAGCTCCTCCATCTGGCCCGGCGGCGGCAGACCCATTGAGAAGAAGAGCTTGCGGTCAGGCTTGCCCAGGCTGCCCTCTGTCGAGAATATGATCTGCCTGGAAGTCGAGGATGCAACGGACCCCGCGGGAGACGCCAAGTGAAGGGGCCGCAGCATCGCCCGCAATTGCTGTATGAGGGGCCGGGGCGCACTTGCATCGCCAGGGCAGCCATGAGCCGTGTCGCGCGTGCTGCCTCCGCGCCGGCGGCGCGCCCAAACTCCGGCCCTCGGCAGGGGCGTCCCAAGCGCCCTTCCACTCACTTGAGGTGCTTCGCCACCCCCGCGTCCCGCGCGATCAGCTGCTGGACCCGGGCGTCCCCGAACAGATCGAAAAACAGCCCCTGGCTCTCCGACATGACCGCCAGCTCCCTCCCGCCCCAGCCGCCGCCGGCGCCGCCGCCCGCGCCGCCCGCGGCGGCGCCGGTGGGCCACAGGGGGAGGCGGTCCTTCGGGATCTCGACGCGCTTAGTAAAGTCCCTGACGTCGGCGTTGGTTTTGAGTAGGGCCTTGATGCCCTTGAGGGGGGCGGTGGCGAGGACCATGGGGGCCATGGCGCCTTCGCGCATGACGACCTCGATCTGCGGTGTGTATGAGCGTGTGCATTTGTGTGTGGTGCGCGCGCGCGCGCGCGCGTGTGTGTGTGTGTGTGTGGACGCACAGTTGTGACTGTGCTCGTACAATGGTCACACTTTACTCTTTGTGACCAGAGCAGTGGCAAGGTGCCCAAGGTGTTGTCAGCAGCATCGCGTGGCCCGGCTTCTCACGGGATGACGCTGATGTGGCGGCCAGGCCAGCCGTGACTCAGCCCTCGGAAACAGAGCGACGAGCCCCCACGACACCACCACTGCAACATGCAGGCCCGCGCGCCACCCACATCAACGCGGGCGCTGGAGGCGCGGGGGACGATGCGCTTAGTAAGGTCGTGAAGCGGCGGCGTCTCAATGAGCACCAGCATGCCGGAGCAGAAGCTGCCAGGGACAATGGCAGGGGGACAGGGGCGTGAGGGCGTGTATATGAGTGGGGAGGGAGCGGCACGATGGGTGGGGCCAGCATCCGGCAGGATGCGGGAGGCCGTGTGGATGCCCCCATGTGATTGGCAGAAGGGGCTGGCTGCGGCATGAGCCGAGGGTATGAACACTCTGGTTCGAGGCCGTCAAGGGGGTCCAGGAAGGGCCCCTGGGGCCGCACCGAGCCAACGAGGCCGGGGGTGGGGCGGACAGCCGTGGGCAGGGCTGCGCCGCAGCAGTGCATTTACGGCGGAGCGGCGGCCGCACGGCCAGCTCACCGGCGGCCAGTGGCCCAGATTTTGAAGGTGCACGGCCCCTCCCGCCACCAGAGCGGGTCATTCTTGCGGTTGACATCCCCGATGGCACCGTGGGCAGAGAACTGCTGCTCGAAGAGGCTGTCAGGGCCTGGGCGGCAGTCGCGGGGGCGAGGGCCGGCGGGAAGGCGGCGTTGCTGGCAGGGGGGCGTTGTGAGCGGGAGGGGCTGCGGGCTGGCAGGCGCGCGGCGGCCGCGGCAGCGCGGCGGCCGCGCTGTCACACGTGCGTAGCCTGCAGTGTGTGGGGGGGTGCGCACCCGGGGGAGGCCCAAGGGTGGCCCGTGCGACAGCCGGACTCAAAAGCAGCTGTTGCCATGCGGCTCGCACCGCAAAAGGTGTCGGACCACTCTTGGGCCAGCCTCAGGTTCTCCCGCCGTCCCGCGATCACTGTGGCAAGGTATATGCCTATGACAGCCAGTAGGCCTGTCTCGATGGGGTAGCGCTGCGACAGCACACCGATGCGCTCCACCCAGGCCCGCACGCTGGCGATGTTGTCTGCGGCGCCGCCGCCTGCGGCATGCGTGCCAACAGGCGCGGCTAGCAGCACGAGGGTTGCCAGAAGCGGCAGAAGCAGTGCACGGGGCTGGCGAGGGAGCGCCATCTCCGGTGCAGCTGCCACGGTGGTCAGGTGCTATGATCTAACCGACTTGTTTTGTGAGTGATGTTGATAATATCGCGGAATAGTGGAGCGTATCTGTAGCAAACTATTGTATTGTATCTCCTGCGGTACACACGGTTGTTGAACGTTGTCTAGTTCGAAGTGATCTGCAACATCATCGCGATCAGCGGGACAGCAACAGCAACAACAGCAGCAGCAGCGGCGGCAGAATGGAACGGGGAGCGCCTGTACACAGTCCAGTCCCGATCTACCTGTGGGTGCCCCCATTGCTGCCTCGATGCTGCCGCGGCGCCCGCCGCACGCGTCCCCGCCCGACGCGCACATCCAAGATAGGCCAGCCCCATCCTGCCGCGCACCCATCACCTCGGTGATCGCAAATCGCTGCAGCTGCCACGACACGGCACCCTGCAGCGGCCTCGGCTCGCGCCGCTGCAGCCCAACCAGCGTCAAGGACGCGACCTGCCCAGCCCCCTGCCCAACCTGCCTGCAACCCCCGCCCGGCCTCCTGCCCTCCGCCGGCCGCAGATACCCCTCGCTGGCTACGGTGCTGCTGGGCGCCGGGCTTTTTGCATCCGCCGGATTCTTCTTATACGAGGCCTCCACAAACCGCCACACGCGCAAGGCCAGCCAGGAGCTGCTGCTCGGCATCCAGGCGTCGGTGCTGCTCGGTCTCGGGGTGCTGTTCCTGCTGCTTTGGACCGGCGTCTACGTGTAACCGCACGCCCCGCGCATGTAACCGCAGCGCTGCTGCGAGAAACGGGCCCTCCAAAGCCCTGTCAGAGAAACGAAAAGGGCTGGACGCTCTGCGCCGCAGGCGCCTGTGGGGGCAAACGGCACTGGAGGGGCCCGCGGCTGGTGCGGCCGCATGTACGCGAGCAGTGCGGCCCAGCTGTCGGGCCCCCGTTTGAATGGTTACCCATGCAGCCAGCAACATCCGGGCAGCGCTTTACAAGGTTCGGAGGGATGGCTGCCACGGCATGCATTGATGCGGTGCGAATGGGGCGTTGCAATGCCAGCGGTGGGCTGCGCGCCATAGGGGCAGGGAAGCACCAGCAGACGTGGTATGATCTACAGCGGCGTGCGGCGCTCCCAATGTGTGCGCGCCGCATGCAGGCCTGGCAAGATTCAGGCCGTGGACTCCCAGCAGGCGCAACCCTATGCGCTGTGATGCCTGTAGAAGGGGATTGGAGGGGTGCGCTAGACGGATTTGATCGGGGCGTGGCCGACGGCGTCCCGAGCTCTGCGTCACACAATGGCTTCATGCATGAGTCCTGTCGTGGCGCGTGCACCGTGCTGCTCATGAGGACGACGTCGCGTGCGGCGCTGTGGTGAACCCCTGGTGTCGTGGACAACAAAAAAACGCCCCCATTCAAAAACGCCCCCATCAACGGAAGGGAGGCGCAGCTTCCCATCAGAAAGCGGGACGCCCCGACAAAACAGGCCGAGCAGGGCAGCTTGACCGCGGCGCGTGCAAGCAGCGCCCTCGCGGCACGCGCCGCGCCTGCGGACACAGCTGCAGCCCGAATCAGGCCTTTGAAACTAATCGGTGCAGGGCGCAACCGGACCAGCCCAAAGTGTGCTGCACATCAGAAAGTACCAATTGTTTGAGTCCCTAGATCCTGCAAGCGCAGATCGCCCAAAACTTCAGACCCCAGTTCAACCCCCAAACGGGGGGCTGTTGCATGCGCTGAAGCGCCGCTCCCTGGCGCAGGCTTGGGGCATGGCCCACCCTCCCTGCACGCAGTGGCCCCGCATGACCTTGACCTTGGACGACGCGCCTTCCCGCGGTCCCCATGGTGACATCATCAGCAGTGACGCCTGCCGCGTCACCGCGTCACCTGACCGGGGTGCCGATGATGACGTGCCACAGCTCCGCCGTGAAAAGCGCCACCGCCGCGCACTGCGGCGCGACGCTCGCCCACGGCTTCTGCGCGAGGCGCCTCGTCAGCACGAGGCTCAGGCCGGCGCCCGCGAGGAGGGTCACCCCCTGGACAAAAGCGACGACGGCCGGGTCTGCCTCAATAATGGGGAGGGCGGCTGCAAATTGGTCGAGGTGCACGGTTTTTGCGGCAGCGGGCAGGATGTCACCAGCCTCCTCCATGAAGTACTGCTCGTAGTGGGCGAGGGTGGCCGCCCTGGTGACGCGCGCGGGTGACGCGGGCGGGTGACGCGGCACGGGTGACCGGGGGCGGGTGACGAGGGATGGGTTGGGGTGTTCGCCTGGGGGCACTCGTTGCCGGATGCTGTTTGTGGGGGATGCAGGCATGGTGATGATGCGCGATGATGGAGCTGCACGGGCGGCAGAGCGGGGCATCCACTGCAGAAGTGCGATGGTGAAGGGTTGAACATGCTCACCAAACCAGAGGCAGGTAGCCATAGCTCAAAGTAAGGAACGGCGCCGGCGGCCCCACCCTCAAC